TGACTTGCTGGTCTGTATTTACACTCTGCAGGGAAAGGGGTTAGTGCAGCTAGAGTGCCTGCTCGGCATGCATGAGGGGGTGTTTGAACCTCAGCACCACAAGCAATAAACAAACATATTTACATACCTAGGCCCATATTTAAGCACGTTCCTCTTGAATGGACAATTCCCATAAATAATCCAGAGCAAGAGAGCAAATGATGGAGGCCCAGTGACATGTCTCAAGAGGTATTTTACTCACTTGATATTCTTAGTTCATGTTCTGTTGCTATAACAGAACACCAGACACTGGGTAATTTACAGAGGGAAAAAATTCACTGATCTGGTGGTTCTGGAGGCAAGGAAGTTCAAGGTCAGGTGGCTGCATCTGGCAAGGGCCTTGTGCTGTCATAACATGGTGGATAACATCACACAGCAGGTACTGCACACAGACGAGAGGAGACAAGGGGGTCCAGATGCTTTACGACAGACTACTCATCCAAGAACTGATGCCTTCGTGTGAGAACTAAGCCAGTCTTAGAAGAAAGACACTGGTCCCCGTCAAGGCCTCACCTCCCAACACCACTCTTTTGTTGCAAGTGAAATTCAATGAGAGTTTTAGCAGAGTCGAACACATGGAAACCACAGCAGACGCCACTGTAAAGAGGAGCAAGGGACGCACTCGATGTACTGATGACCTGGTAAATAACCCAACTTCTAGAGATCCTAACACCAAGGACAGAACAAGCATCAACTTGGCAATTGGCTAGGCTTGGCGCAAGCCTCACCTCTGCCACGGACCATGGACCTGTGCCTTAATCTCTTTGCTGTGTTTCTCACCTGTAACCCAGGAATAATAATTCCAACAGGCACTCCCATAATCTTCATTTTACAGGCAGAGAAAGCTGAGACGCAAAGAGTTCTGCAGCTGATTCTAGATGAAGCAACCAATAAACAGCAGAGTTTACATCTGAACCCCTGAAATCTGCCCCCTTCCTGTCAGAACCGCTAGGAGCCTGCGAGATCCACACGGAATTTCTTCTTTTGTTCTCTGCTAATGGGAACTCAGTTCTGTAATTCCCTAAGCCTCAGTTGCCTCAAGAGAAAATAGGGTTTTGTTATTGTTATTCAAGATGTTATGGGGAAGCAGTGAGAAATACAAGCAATAGGATTAACAGAGTGCCTGGGCAGTTGTGGCCATGGTAACACCCCTCACTCACTGCAGTGGTAATACTGATCATGTCATCAGCAACACAGCACCCATGGTGCTCGCAATTATTTGTAAATGTTTGCGATTTCCTTGAACTACATGTTCCATGAGAAAAGAAACTGTGTCTTTCCTATTTGCATTTGGCAATCTAACCCCAACAGAACATACTCTATTTTTAATGAATTTATTGTTGAAGCATAAATGGCTTTTGATTGGCTCACCCTCTCTGGGATTGCTGTAAAGATAAAATGAGCTAATGTATGTGAAACAGTTGGTACAATGTTTGCTTGAGGATTCCACACAATTAACATCTGTCCTTTTCCCTTTCACAGCAGAGCACATTGAGACAAACACTCTGAAATCACATGGCTCAGAGATTTTTAAAAAAAGGAAAAAAAGGATGCCTAGACTCCTCCAAGGGATACAGGCTTCCCAGCCAGAACCCATGCCCGAGCGATGTGGGCACGTGCGCCCCGCGGGAACACAAGCTGGAATCCACAGTGGTGGGCACCACTTGCCAGCATCCCACAGAACCGTGCAGCAGCGTGTCTGGGAGTCTCAAGAGCAGAAAAAGGAAGGCACTCGACGTACTGATCAATTAAAGCTGCTAATTAGGTCCGTGCCTGGTACAAACGTTGGCAGCTCTCACATACTGGGGTAACAAAGAAGAGTTTGGCAGAGAGACCAAAGCCACGGCCAATCCATCCCTAAGCCAACCTGCTGCGTCTGTAAGGGGTTGCAGCAACTGAACACATTGGGAACACCCCTAGGATGACATTTGAAAACTCTAAGTAGAAATACTAGTTCAGAAACTCTAAATAGAAATAGAATGGACAGGAGGACAAAAAAAAATTGCCCTTGTCGCTTGAAACCAAGTCCAGGCAATGGGCAGAAGGAAAAACATGGGCTTGGGCAAGGAACAGACTTCCCTTCCGGTCTCGGTTCCACCAACTGTGACCCGAGATATCACCTAACATTTCTGAGCTTCCATTTCTTCACTTGCAAAACAGGAAATGTCCACTTGGCGTAGATGTGGAAGCTTAAACAAGCAGTCTGTATGCGGGGACTGCAAGTAATAGATCACCTGCCATCAGCAGCGCCACCACCTGAACACAGCTGTCGTGATTCAGTGATTAGGGGCCCAGCCTCCCGGAGTCAGCACATTCCCACTTGCCTTCCCCAGGGGCTCTGGAGTTGTATGATTGTGTGGTTCTGTGTGAGTCACCAACTACTCACAGAGTAAATCCACCTCGGACTTGTAACTGGACAAGTGTCGAATAAGGCCTCTGAGGAGCAGGGGACCTGGATCATCCTCAAATGAGACAAGCCATTCCATAAAAAAGCATCAGGGTACGGTGGGTTGGGGGAAGAGTTGGGATGAGGAACTGGCATGGACCTAGGAAGCTGGGAGAGGGCAGAGGCTGAAAACATAAGGAAAGAGAAGAGAGTACCAATGGCCAGCATGGGCTCAAAGCGAGTGAGAGGCAGATGAAAGACACAGTGTCATCCATCTCCATGATTTTTGGGGTGTGGTAATCCCATCTGCCTGGCTGATGGAAAGTTAGACCAATGGCAGAAGCAGCAGCCAATAAGTAGCAGCAGAGGGTGTATTGACAGAGGCAGCAGCCAATGAGGAGCAGTCAAGCGTGTATTAGCAGAGACAGGAGCTGATGAGAGACAAGCCAGATCATGCCTACGTCCTGGAAAGTTCCCTGGAAGCAGAAACGGGAGCAGGTGGGAAGTGAGCCTAGACCAGAAATGCTCCTGGTGGAGCATCCATGGAACAGGAGCTCCACACACCAGGGTCTCTGTCTAGCCTCTGTCCTGTGAGTAGGAGCAGTGCACACCAGCTCTTGTGAAACTGAACCACAGAGCTCCTAGACTGCATTTCCAACCCTTGAAATAATTTTCAGGTCTCAAAGAACCTAAGAAGTATTATGTCTGCAGTTCCTGGTATATTTGCATAACTGGTAACTTGTAGATCTCAGAGTCCAATAATAATTTGTTGTCAATGCTCTTTGGAGACAGAATATTTTCTGTGACTCTATTACTGGTTTTAATCCTTTTATACTTGGCTAACCTACTTGGCTTACTTTTCTCTCATTGCTCAGACAAAATACTCAACACTCAGAGTTAAAGGAGAAAGGTTTATTTAACTCACAGTTGTAGAGGTTTCAGACCATAATCTGCTGGCTCCAAGGCAGGGTGGTATGGCAGAGGGGCATCACAGAGGAGAAACAGTCCATGGCAGGCAGAAGGCAGGAGAGAAGCAAGGGACAACCACAGCTTTCTCTATCCTTTATATATTACCCAGGCTACTTAGGGCGGGTGGCACTCACGCCTTTAATTCTAGTGCCCTTGATTCTAGCATTGCATCGTGAATCAATCCCAGCATCACACACTCTAGATCCACCCACCTCTGAAACCCAGCTATAACTGCATGAGGCTCTGGGGGGACATCTAAACACAGGCCATAATACTATTAATCTCTTTCTGTGGTTCCTCCCTCTCCATACAGAATATCAATCCTAAAACAGGCCAGGAGCATAGTTAAAAGAAATTTTAATCCCTCCTCTTTAATTTTTTTTTAATTTATTTAAGCAATATTAAAATTCTTAAATTTCTACTATCCAAGATGTTAATAGGTATATGACATGTATAAGAGTAAGGATTTAATCTTTCTCATTTAAAACTAAAAATTATATTTTTAGCCAAACTTTATTGAAAAATACAAGCAATTACACTTACATTTGGTGTTAATTTTTGCTTTTCATTACTTTTTAAAACTCTTGCGAAAATCACTATACATTTCTGTTAAGCATTGGCCTCAAGACAAAATGAAATTTAATTTTTCTAAAGGTAGGTTTGATATATTTAATTTAAATAAAGGTCATATACTATAATTTTGGATGTTACTTAGAGCATGAAAATGTACTGATGCTGTTGAATAACTGAAATGTTGAAATGTTGATGCTGAAATCATCAACCAAAGCAAGAAAAACAAAAACATAGTCTATAGCAAATTATACAAGACTTTGAAAAATAAGTTTCTTACTGACATAATCAGGCTATAATATCAAAATCATAGGAATGTGTTAGTTTATTGATTTCTTGTAGGCCTATATGTGCAATAAAAATGTTATTTGTGAAATATAAAGTAAAATATACCTTTTATAAGTTCATTATGTTTTTTACCCTTCCTTCCTCCCTCCATTATTTCTTTTCCAGCACGGATATTTAATTATTGGTCAAACCTGAGATACCTGAGATAAACACAGGGGTTTTTATTTTACTTTTTGCTTTCTTAGTACATCTGTGCGTGAAGTTTGTATTCATCTTGGGGAGGGGGACACGTACAGAACACAGCTCCTCTCTTTCTTTAATCCTCTTTCCTTACCCCCAACTTCCCTCCCTTGATTTGTAGTTTAAGATCTAAATCCCCTTGCCCATTTTCATTTTTGTTGTTTTCATTATTCTTAGCTTGTGTTTATGATGTATAATATTTATATGACCTATAATGCCACATAATTACCTGACATATGATGTTTACAATGCTCATTCTAGGTATTTGATACCTGCACATGGCATATCTTAAATCTTTCTTTTCCTTGCCCCTCCCCCTCTCACTTTGCTGTTCGTCTCCTGGACCCCTTCCCATTCACAAGAGATCAAGCCCTTTGTTTCCTTCTATCCATGCATTATTTTGTTCCTAGTTTGCACTTTGCCTTACTCAAATGAGAACTACAATATGGTGTTTAGGCTTGTGTGTCTGATTTATTTCATTCAACATTTTACTTTTAGAATGCACCTATTTTCCTACAAATGTCTCAAGTGTGTCCTTCTTTGTAGCTAAGTAGTATTCCATTATGTACAGGTGTTCATTTCCAACTGAAGTGAGAGTGCTTCTGCCCTTGCTTCTGGTGGATGTTAAATAAGAGGATGTTTTATCATGTGTGTGGAAAGGTGAATCCCAAAGCAAAATGCAGGAGACTGTTCCACCCGGAGCACAGAACTTAATGCACTAAACCTCATCCTGAGTGTATAACATGACTGCATCTCACCAAATTCTTCCTCTTCTCTCAAAGTCAAGTTCTCAGGGGAAGCACAAGATTGAGCAAAGGGACTATTTGCTCTGTAATTCACATGCCCCAAGAAGGAAGGGATATGGTCCTGCAGATTCTAAGCAGTTTGCCAGAGGATTTCAGGCTCCCTGTTCTCCCAAGACTGAGCAGTGGTGGAACCGCGTCAGGGCTTCCTTTTTCCAAGGGTTTTGTCACTGAAATCAAAACATTCTTTGCAAGGCCTTGCAGAGATTTCCTCCCTGGTCCCTGTGGTAACAGGCATCTTCTAGAGGCTGTGCCATACCTTCAAAGGTCTCAGCAAATCCAGTGCACTGTTTTCTTCAGAGTAGCCCTGTCCTTCACCTCTCTGCTCAAATGCTTGTTGAGGACTCTCCTTTGCCTGTGCCACATAATTTATTCACGCAGCAGATTTTGTGTGATCTTTGTTCAGCTTTCATGGAATTAAGCATTCTCTGGGAAATTGGTGTTGATATTTTGAGCATTTTTGTAGCATCATCAGGATTCACATCATCCTCTCAAGTTGTTGGCAACAGCAACTTTCTGGACAGAGAAGTATATTATGCTAACAGAAGAGTGTTTTTAAGAAAGGTTCATTCTCTCCTGGAGTTAAACACCAGCGAGCTACTATCACTGCCAAGGCCAATATATTTCCTCCAAGGCAGGCTTTGTTTCTAAACAAAAAGACAAAACATAAACATGGATGTCTTTTCTTCGTTTCTGGCAATTTTTTTGTGTGTAGCAGAAAAGTTTATCTTTAATTTCCCCACCGCTTAAGAAATCTTACAATCTCACTAGCTGCACCATATGATAAATCTGTTGACTCGACAGACTGGATACAGTGGCTATTGTCTTTCAGATTATTACACAAACCTCTTCCTCACCACACATCATCTCATCAATAGGCTGACTCTTCCCATGGCTTGAAAGCAGAACCTTTCCAGTTTCGCCTCCTACATCTTCCCTGACCATTTCACTCACTAGACTTTTACTACAATAGAGACTTGTCCTTCCTCCAGGAGGCAATATGTTGTGCTATTCATAACAATCAATGTCAAAGTTAAAGGAGAAAGTTAAAGGATATTCACAAAGTTAAAGTATATTCACAATATTCCAAGTAACACTTAGGCTAAAGATTTACCCTGTTTAGAGATTCCAATAGCCATTTAAAACCATTGACACCTTTTGTGTCAATTGGTTGTGATTTGTAATTAAAAGTCACAATTTGCAGCGAGGGGTGCATTTGTGAGCTGTTTGCCACAGACTCTGCACAGTGGGACAGGCCTGTGAGGGTCACTAGGTGCACAAACTCATTGAGAATCTGTCTTGCTCACTGAGAGGGGCTTTCATTGTGGGACACGTATTACAGCTGTGCAGTGAAAAGACATGCAGGTTGTGATTCTTCATTGTTGATTTTGTCAGCATTATCCACACACATAGAACTAGAAAAGTTCTTGGGAAAACAATATGGATGTATGGCTGGAGACATATTACAAAAAAAAATTTCAAGAGGAACTAACAGACATTGAAATATCCTGTAAAGTCAATATAAGGAAACAATACAGTATTAACACATGAATGAGCACACAGACCAACAGAATAGAATGGGAAATCAAGCAACATGCTCAAGGACGTTTGGGCTTTCACATCTACCGGTTCTGCATCCTCCAAGTCCACCAACTGTGGGCTAAAAATATTTGAAAAAAATTGTATCTGCACTGAATGTGTACAGATATTTAATCATTCTTTAAACCATACAGATAGCAACTATTTGCATAGTATTTACATTGTACTGAGTATTAGAAGCAGCCTGGAGATCATTAAAGCAGCCATCGACCTTCCACCTTTTCTGCACCAGGGACAGGGAAGTCCCATGAAAGACAGTTTTTCCACAGACAACAGGTGGGGAATGGTTTCAGGATGATTTGAAAGAGTGCACAACCTGGATCCCTCTCCTACGAAGGTCATAGGAGGATTCACGCTCCTATGAGCATCTAATGCCATCGATGCTCTGACAGGAGGCGGAGCTCGGCTGTAATGTGAAGGATGGAGAGTTGGTTGTCCCCTCTTCACCTCCTGCTGTGCATCTGAATAGGCCATGGACTGGTACTCCTCCCAGGCTGAGGAAGCCTACAGGATACTGGCAGTTTGCAAAGTCTCAGCAACAACATGGCAATGGAGACTGTACTAGGGTGGGCTTGGAGCTGAGCTTAAGAGGGCCATAAATGTGAAACACTGCATGTTAGTTCAGTCAGCACACATACCCTACAACTACACCAGAGGAAAGGAACAAACGCAAATAAAGACACAAGCATGGACAAGACCACTGCCTCTTCACTATTTTTAATAGGAAGTCAAGAAGCCATCCAACAGTGAGAGGTCAGAAGTGGTAGTATGGTCCTAATTCTTAGGAAAACCACAGTGAAAACAGACAAAGGGACCCAGGAAGAGAAGATAGGTGAAGGAGTTTGCTTGGCTTCATCAATAGGCTTTAAAGTTCTATTACTTTTTAAATTACAGCCATATATTTGACCTACATTTTCAAAAAGTTAAAAGCATGCCAGTAAAGAAAGACAGATTCTAAGGTGGTATTTGTAGCTTGGAAAGAAAAAATCAATTATTATAAGGCAATTTTTCCTTTGGAAAGTGAAAATAAAAACTATTATTTTGATAACAAAAGTTCCCCAAAGTAAAAATAATGTGAACTATGTATACATTTGGTCTTTGCCCCTGTTCCCTGATACCTTTGGAATCTCCAGTGTGATGCTGTCCTTGGCACACTGTGAGATGACTGATGCCTGGGGACCCTAGGTGACTTCAGGATGACAGCTGGTCACATGGAGGACTCTCCAGGCTCCTCTTCCTATTTCCCAGGTAAGAGAGCAGAGCTGAAGGCTACACAGCTCCCCAATAACAAGTAATTTAACCAATCATGCTTATGTCATGAAACTTTCAATAAAAATCCAAAAGGGCTAAGCTCAGATGAGCCTGCAGGTAGCTGACTCACGGAGGTCCCTGGACACTGGACCTCCCTTGTCACAAGCATCCCTTCTTTTCCACCGCTTCTCCTCTGCTGTTCATCTCTGCCCTTCATAGCGGTCTTTGTGATGCATGGGTGAACATAAGGCAGGTGGCTGTCCGAGTCCCGTGGGCTTCTCTAACAAACTTATCAAACCTGAAACGGAGGTCTCAGGAACCCCAATTCACAGCCAGTGTGTCGAAAGTACAGGAAACAACCTACCACTTGTGCCTGGTACCAGAAAGGAAGGTTTTGTGGGACTGAACCCTCAACCTCTGAGATCTGATTCTACCTCCAAGCAGATAGTGTCGGGGTTAAACTGAATCACAAGGACCCTCCCACTACCCATGGGTTGGTGTACAGGGAAAAAGACACCTGTACGTTTGGTGGCAGAAGTAGTGAGGTATTGTACTGAAAGGCTTTGAGTAGAATGGATGAAGAATACTTGGTATTTATGGTGTTTTGTTTTTCCGCTCTCTCCAGGAAATGGAAAATCTATTTGCTGTTAAGTAATAGACAAACATGATCCTCAATCCTGGGTTCTGCGAGGGCAGATTCACTCTCTGTTTTATTCCTCAACTAAATTTTATGAACTGCTAAATGAAAGAAAGATTGAACAAAAGCACTCACAATAAAAAAATCAACCAGGCCTGGGTATGGTGACACACGCCTGTAATCCCAGCTCTCAGCGGGGCTGAGGCAAGAGGATCAAAATTGCAAGCCCAGTCAGGACATTTTAGCAACTTAGTGAATCTTGTCTCAAAAGGAAAAATTAAAAAGAGCTGGCGATAACTCACTGCCAAGTCCCTGGGTTCAATGCCCGGTACCACAGTACGATAGAAAGAGCACCGAGCACACTTACCTCCACCACAAAGCAGCCTGAAGGCTCAGAAGTAAACTCATGTCCATTCTGCACTTGAGCTGCTCAAGCAGCCGCTTTCAAACGGGTGACCAGGTGCTCATGATGGTTCCATGGTGTCAGCAGCTTTCAGTCATGGGAAATAAAAAGTGTAGGTCCTAGAAGACGGGCAGCGTGGTTCCACCCAGCAGCAGCTGAAGGGGTCAAGGCCATTTGGAGTCTTCAAGGATGACAAAGAGTTTGTGAGGGGAAGAAACAGAAGGAAGAGCATGAAAGAGGACACAGGCCCTGGTGTGTGCCAGAGACGGTCGGACATCCCTGGAGATGGAGTGGACATGTGGGAGATGTGCCCTGGGCTGCGAGACCGGAGAGGGGGAGAGACGCTGAGGTCAGCCCATTGGGTAAGTTCTGTGTATTATCCAGAACTTAATTAGAAGTTCTTTCTGTCTTACCTTTTGGGAACTAGGGGCTTGCTTTTAAGGAAGACCATCTGGTACAGTGTGGAGGAGATACCTAGAACAAAAAAGGGGTGGGTGTGAACCAGCAGGAACAATAATAGAGCAATACTAGAACCATCAGAGAAGTTCATGCATCCTGCACAGCTTATGGTGAGCCTGGTCAGTGCCAAGTCTTTGGCCGCACGGTCACACTCCTTCCCGAATACTATGCTGAGAGGTGGGAAGTTGCATCCCAAGGCACAGACGTGGACCCTGGAAAGCAGAGGCTGGGCTCGTGTGAGGAGGCAGTTGCTCCCACCTGTGAAGTGGGCTGTCTGCCTTCACCTGGGCAGGAGCCATCTGCATGCCAACTGGCCTCGCACCAGCAAGTGTGATCACCTGGCAGAACAGGAAGTGCTGGCCAGAAACGAGGGCAGCTCCTGACAAGTGCGGAATGACGTTTGTTAGAGGAAAGTGGGGTTCATGCCCTAATATGGTTACTGAGGAGCAACTCGGCAGCGTGAAGTCAGAAGACACGTGACAAGGCTCCTGCCATCCATCCTCCCGGAGTCCTGTCCACTCCAGCCCCAGTGACTTCATCTCCCCATAAACCGCGACCAATCTCGCCTCTCCGTCAGCAAGCTTCTGCTAGTGCCCTGACACGATGCAGGGCGCACTACCTGTTCCGCCTCATTTTCTCTCTCCCACTCCCCTCTTCCTGGAACTCCATCCCCTTTTTCCACATGGCCGCTCTCTCATTCAGCGAACCCATCCCTTTCTTTCCAGCAGCGCCTTCATCCGCTTTCACTACTGGTCTCATCTGTCCAGCCGTGAACACGGGAAAAGTCTCGATGCCAGTTCTTGCTGTTCTTCTCCATGCTTGGTCACCAAGACTTTCACGACTGTAGTTCTGACGCCGTCGACTCCCCTCTCACCTCCTCTGACCACCTCCTCCGGAGACTCCCTAAGGCTAGTCATCCAGCTCCAGTCCTGCGCATGCTAAGGCAGGCCACAGCCGTTGTGACCGGTTGGATGGTGCTTGCCAAGGGTAAGGACGTCCTTTGCTATCACTGTGGCCTTACTTGGACGCCGGAAAGCAGAGGCTGGACTCGTGTGGGGAGGCGGCTGGTCTAGTTGAGACGCAGCCATGAGGATGGGCCTTAATCTAATATGACTGCATTCTTATCCCCGGATGCCAACAGCCAAGCACATCTCTGCTGTGTGCACAGGTGGGAGGAGACCCGGGTAACTCACCTGCAAGCTAAAGAAAGCCACAGATTACCACCAAGCCAGCAGAAGTCAGAGAGAGACACTGAACAAGTCCCGGAGCCCTCGGAAAGAACCGGCCCTGGTACTCTGTTAGGGGAGCCCTAGCAAACCAACCAGCTGCTAAGCTCGAAGCGCACATCCAACCACACTCATCTCTACCCCAAATCCCCGCACAGTAACACTGTTTATGGAGCACCTTCTGAGGGCCGGGAGCACCAGCTCTGCTTCTAATCCTCTCCGTATCCCTTTAAAGAAGACATTACTACTCCTTATTTACCAGCTGGGAAAAAACCTCCTCACAGGCTAAGTCACTGACCCAAGGCCATTAGGTAGTCAGCAGAAATACTAAATTTTATTCTTGGTCTCCTTGATTCGCGAAGTTGAGCTGGCACACGGTGCTTGGCGAGCTCCCTCTGTAGAGGGCCGGACAGTAACTATCTCGGGCTCCGCGGGGCCTGTGGTCTCTGTGCAGATGACTCAGCTCTGCCGTGGTCGTGCAAAAACAGCCACGGGCGGAAGGCAAATGAAGGGCGCGGACTTGTTCCACTAGACCTTTATCCAAAAAAACAGACTGCAGGTCAGATGTGTCCGTCCCTCTGGTCACGGTTCACCACCTCCGCCCTCCAGCATTATCTGTAGGATCTAAGCCATGCTCTGGGCTGTGAGAACAACTAACACAGTGAGCTCTCTTTATGTTAGGACCTGCTCATGTGCTCATTTATTGACATTCTCACTGCTATTACCCATATTTCCGAGGTCGCCATCTCACCAAGATAGCAGAAATCAGGCCCAGGTCCTTTCTTCCCCCAACATCCTGTGCTTCTCCTGCGACCTGTCTGCTCTGGGTCCGCAATGCCCACAGCCAGAGCCATGGATTTCAGCGTCCTATGCTGTCAGCAGGGATGGGAAGTGGAGATCACAGGAAAGAACTGTGACGCTCGGGAGCTTGGGGGAGGGGCGGGGGTGGCGCTCATGTTCCACCCTCTTCCAGAGAGATTACACACAGTAGAGGGGAAAACACCAACAGTGGTGCTGGCAGATCGCCTGGACTTATGTGCAGATGCTTTCATTATTCAGCACACCTGAGCTGGTACTGCAGCCGCTTGCAACAACTATGCTCTCCTTTCCGTGCACTAACAGAACAGGTGCCAGGTGGAATTGACCGCTGTGTGATGCATTCCTGACCAGGAGCATCAACAGTAGTCCATTGGGGTCCCTAGGAAGGTTCTGTTGTTCTAACACAAGTAAGCTAGCCCTTTCCTTGACTGCTTTCTCCTCCTCATCTATCTCTTCTATTTCCTCTTCCTCTTCCCCCTTCTCTTCCTCCTCCTCCTTTTTTCTTTCTGGAATGTGGCCAAAGAATTGGAACTAGAGCAGACATCTGGCATCCACAAGGATGAAAATTCTTCACCAAAATTGGTGGGGCGGGAGCACAGCAGGAGCCTAGGCCAGAGGGAGCCAGGGAGGCTCCACAACCTGCCTCAGGCCCCTGCCCCGAACTGCTGGTTGTGGGGGAAAACCATCCCCTTGGGTTAAGCCAGTGTAGTCTGGTTTTCAGATGCAAGGGGACTTAGCAGTTCTAACCAAAGGCTTGGTTAGCAACAGGACCCACCCGCCACACAAAACTCGGCTTCCAGAATGGGGCCAGCGCTCCATGCCCAGGTGACAAGTGAGCAAATGAGTCGGTGGGTGTGTTGACAACAGACGGGGCAGTGCTGTGGGGAAGCGAAGCTGCCGTGGCTGCACTCACTTGCTCAGCACCTTCTCTGTGCCCTCGTTCTCTCGGTACCCGTCAGACGTTGGGATCGTCCTTCCCAGGTCACAGGTGAGAACCTGGAGGTCCACGGGGCCCAGAGAGCAGCAGCCCATCACAGCGCGGCTAGGATCTGAAGCCCAACCTGGGTGATGTTGAAGTTTCTGTTCCTTCTTAGACCCAGCTGTCACAGTCAACCCCTCACTGGGCACTTGGACCTGGAAGTCCAAGGAAGATGGACACTGAGGTTGGACACGAGCCCCACAGCTCAGGCTCTGTGAGCTGGACAGTGCTTTCCTCGATGTCTTATTTCCTTGTTTGTGTCAAGGAGAGCAGTAGCACCTTCCTTCCAGGCTGTGTTAAAGGTCCCATGTATATATTAGGTGGTTAGCAGATGCTAGCACTGCTCAAAAATGTCATCCAGCAGAAGCCTTACCACCATCACCCCTCAAAACCCTGCAAAAATCAAAGACAGCAGTGGTTTCCCCTGAATAGAAAGCCCAGATGAGGTGCTGGGGCAAGCAGCTGCTGCAGCCTGGGGCACCAGGGACCCCACTTTGGAGACCTCGCTTGCCTTCCACTGCTGTAGCCCTTGGCACCCCTTTGGAGCACAGATGCCCGTGGGCCTCAGAAATGCCCGTGCGACTGCTCGTCCACACCTGAAGTTCCGCTAACCACTGGATTCATTGTCACTCAAGGCTGCAGGAGCAGCCCTTGGAGCCCGAGGCTGTGCCCCTTAATCCCACACAGGTGTCAGACAAAGTCCCATGGGCGGAGAACACTGTGCACGGCTCCCTGGCTCCCTGCCCGCCCCACCTCATCAGGGAGCAGCCTGGGAGTCTGAGGCGAGGTGCGGGGGTGGATTTGAATCTCAGACGCTAGCCTGCCCAGCTGAAGGTTTTGCCTCTGTCTCAGCTGGCACGGGTGCACACACACACACACACATCCCGACACACACGCACACGCATACACACAGACACATGCACACACACATACTCAGGATCAACAATACAGTCAGCTGCAGCTCCGAGCAGGTGGGGTGGGACCCTGGGGTGTAGAAGACTGGCAGGCTGGACCCCCACCCCCGGCAGGGAAGGCACATGGTGATACCCAAACCTGAGAGATCAGTCAGGTGTTGGTCTGTGCTAGGGGCAATGCTGGGCAGTGGCTGTGTTTTATGTTCGTTATTGCTCTTACTTGTGCCCCTGTGGCGTGAGGATGGGCAGGCACGGTGTTATTTTGTGATGCAAACATTTCTACTTCCTAAAGTACAGGTCTTATCACCGCTCCCTCTCCACCCAACACTGCCAAGTGATGAACAAATAGAAGTATGTGTTGGTCTCTGCTCTCAAAAGTTTTCCCCTCCAAATGGAGAAAGCATAATTTGAAAGAAAAACTACACACAAGTACAAGCAGTCTAAGTTAACTCTACCGCAAAATGCTAGCATGGGTAGCAGTGACCATAACCCTTGAGAAAACTCCAAGAACAGAAAGAGCCACGAGGAATGGAATCAACGCCTTGGGGGCTGGCTGGCCCTGTCCCAGGGACTGCGATGAGACCCCTCCGTGAGGAAGAGTAACAGGTGAGTCTTACACCTTGTTTACTACGGACCAGACACCGCCACCCAAGCACAGTACGTAGGTCTGCACTTCAACCCACACGACAATACGCGCACAAAGTTGGTTCTGTTCATCACCTGATGTTCTTATGTTTTCAGGGTGCAGTGAAGTGAAGCAATTTACCCCGAGGCACACAGCCCATAAGCGGAAGGACTAAGTTGGGAACTTAGTCTTATTCCAAAGGCTTCTGTAAACCACAGCACTGTACGTCCTGTCCGAAGGGAGGAAAGTGGACGGTGCTGGTCCAGTGTAAAGGACAGCGCATGCTAGAGCAGACAACCCCGCTTCCCGCAGCAGCACACAGTGGAGGTTACTAATGTGAGTGATCTGCAGACACCCTTCTGCGTGGCGATTCCAGGCTTTCCTATCATGGACCCCGTGGCCCTCCAGGGCCACAGAGTCCTCTTCTACATCTTACCTGGAGGGTCAATGGGTGTCTTAAGGTCACACCTGGAAGTGGAGCCCCTGGTTCCCACTCCCAGTCATTACTTAGTCACACGGCCATTCCCGAGGGGAAGGGACGCTGGGAGGGGGGTCCTGCTGGGCTCCCCGAGGACATGGATCTGGTCCAGTGACTCTCACAGCCTCTGCTAAAGATGCAAGACTCAGCCCTTTTGTCCAGACCCTCAGCTCCAAGACTGATCCCAGGTGGACAGCTGTGGATCCATGTCCAGAGAGAGACAGCAGCTTTGGTGCTGACTTCAGAAGTGTCCACAGGTCCCCACATGGTCACCTGTGCAGAAGGACACAGCGCTTGGAGCAGAGAACCCTGGACCATGACCGGTACACAAGAGCACCATACATGGAAGCTTTGCCTTCAGCCCCAAATAAAACCAAACTGGCCGTGTACAGCAAGGTCTTTGCCAGAGAGCCAGGAGCAGAGGCCCCGGGCTGGAGACTGCTGGACCCTGCCCAGGAGGTTTAACCTCAGGAAAGTTGGCCCAGACAGAAAATGCGTGAGGAGGGGAAAGAACAGTACCACCCCCCAACAGCACCTGCGCTCACCAGGGGTGGCCCCGGCATGTTGCTGCTTTCCAGGGAGCAGCCTGGAGAGGCAGGCAAGAAGGGAGGCTGGGTGGACCAGGCCACAGGCTCCTCAAACTCAGAAGATCCCAAGCCACCCTGGAGTCCCCGCCCCGGTAAAGTGCTCCACCATCTGTCACCTGCCTGAGTCAAATGCCCATGTAACCCCTGGTTCTCCACTCAGCCTCCTATGAGCTTGGTATCCTCACCCCCTCCCTGATGCCCTCCAGCCCTCACTGTGCCCCGGTGCAGCCCCCACCTGCTCACCTGAGCTAGCAGCTCTTCAGCCTGACTCCAGTCCCCCTCTTTCCGATGTTCAAGTCCTCTGGCAGATGCCTTCGAGCATTATGGTGAATGGGAGGGCACTGGCACTACCCGTGCTCTCCCTCTCCCTCTTCCTTACCAACAGGATCCCAGCTTATTTCAGAAAGTACCATGTGCCGAGAACATACCTCATCCTCCCAGGCTTCTCTGGAACAGGAGGCAACCGAAGGCAGATGCCTCTGGGCATGGTCTTTCCTTGAGTGGGAAAGGGAGGAAAGAAGGTGAGTCAGTTTCCTTGGCTTTTTCAGCTTCTAGTGGCCACCTGCGTTCCTCAGCTGTGGCCTCTTCCACCAGCTCAGAAGGGACCCAGGCTTCTGAAGTTAGCTCTTGGGGACTTGTGGCTGAGTCTTGATTGCTGAGCTCCTGTGTTCGTTTCCTCCACCGGCACCTTTTGAGCACTGTAAATGCATCGTTCTGATCTCCGCTTCCATCACCACTCACCTCCTCTCCACCTCCTTCTTTTAAGGATGCAGCAAGTGCATCCAGCCACATGAGGATACACCAGAGCCTTCGAGATAATCTCTCCACTTTAAGTTCCTTAACTAAATCCCATCTGCAAAGTCCCTTTTACCATCCAAGATAACATAATCTCCAATTACTGGGCTTAAGAGGAGGATATCTCCGAGGATCGTGATTCAGCCTAAGCAGTAGCAAACCACTTTGCAGCTGGTGCTGCCACCTGCTATGTCCTAGGCATCGTGCCTGGCACTGGAGACACTAAATATCCCTAACAAGAGCTTGTCCTGCTGTGCATGCAACTGTTTATTTGCTTCCTTGACTGTCTGGGGAAGCTGTAAACACGGGAAGGCAGGAAATGTGTAACATTCTCTTTCCTGCCATCCCAGAACCAGCCCGGGAACTCACATGTTGGAGTGTCCAAAAACGCTGACCGAGTTTGTGAAACAGAAACACAGCGTGCCTCGGCTACGGAGTCCTGCGTGCAGAAGCCTGAGTTCATTCTACATGTCAGCAAAGAGGAGAGTGGAGACTATTGAGGAACAAACCCTCTGCCCCAGGAGTCCCCCAGGGACAGCCGATGGGGTGGATACTGGATGAAAATAAAAGGGGAGGGGGTGCCATGAAACAAGGAAGATGACGAAGTCCACATGTGGCTGCTTCTTACAACTACACTCAGGAGTTCTGTAACAAACGTGGGTTGGGGTGGCCGGGGGAGGCTGACACAAACCTAGGGCAGCTTTTGCCTTTTATGCACTGGGCTCTGCAAATGCATGTTCACCTCAGGGAAAGGATCCATTTGTACTGCGTACAAATGCTTCCTTTAGAAACGTGAACCACATCCACTTCGTCACGGTCTTTAGATTAAAAACAGGGAACTGAGGACCAGAGAAGGAAAGCAGGTGCCCAAGGACACAGAGCAAAATAAAGGCATGTTTAGAGAAGACGCCGGTCTCTCGGCCCCCAATAAAACATTATTTCCGTCTCACTACACAGTTCCTAGTGTGGGTGGCACCACACCAGGATAAAGCATTTGATGTAAGATCTTCAAGAGACATGCTTGCGTTCCAAAACCCCCAAAACTGTGCATCGTTGAGGAGGGATTTTCTTCTATGGGACATAAAAATGGTGGAAAATGGGCTCTTAAAAATAAAATTGGATTATAATAAGGAGCATATTCTTTTTTTTTGTTTGTTTGTTTTGTTTTTTTGTTTTTCTTCCAGTACCAGGAATCAAACTGAAGACCTTGCACTCGCCAGGCAGGTGATGTGCCGCTGAGCTGAATCCCCAGCCCCAAGGAGCATATTCTTAAAGGAACTCCAAAAGGGCTCAGCTCAGTAAATGAAGCCCGTTTGTTGTTCCTCTGCCTGAAGGTCCCGCTGACCATCAAATGTGTTTTTGTGTGGGGGTCTCCCCCGTCCCTCAGCCCCCTGAATCCTATTAACTCTCCCTTCTCACCAGTTTTCTCTCCTTTTTCTAGCAACACCCCTAAAACCAAGGAAAGAAAAATGATTCTCAACACTGAGAAGGCAGAGGAAAACCCTGTACATAAATGTCCCCAACTACTCAGGCACGACGCACCCTAAAGAAAGTGGGTACCAGACCATCACTGGATAATCACACTCTTCTCCCCCACTATCATCCCCATCAGCACAAAGGCCTTGCTGTGACTTCAGAGTACATAGTAAAGAGAATGTGAATCTGTGTGAAGTTTAAAACCCAGAAATCCTCAGTTCACCAGTTTGAGGGTTTGTGTCAGAAAAGCTGCATGAAGTTCGAATATCAGGGCTCCCTGGGGTCCAGTACAGCACAGCCCCCTCCTGTTCCTTCCCCAAATTAAATGAAGCATAGATTGAGTGCTTGCCTCCAGGGAAGTATCTGCTCTGTGACACTGGTACTACAGCCATAATACAAATATGAGGATCTGAAGTTCAAGGTGGTGAGGTAACTGTTCAGTGTCACACAGTGAGTAAACGCTGAAGTCTAAATTCAGACCCTGATTTCAGACTCCAGTGCTCAAGTTTTCTCCATTGGGGCCTTAGCCCACAAAGCACGTAATACTAAATCACTATCTGACGTTTACAGAAGCCTTGCTATGTGCTGGGCACAGTGCAAAACTGCTGTCTTTGCAAAGGTCTTAAACACATTTCAGCAAGGAACAGGATTGGCTTTAGGATTGTTCATTCTTCCTCCATGCCACATCTACAACAAGAGAAAAAGAATTATCCATCTCCAAAACTCATAACTGAATGGGGGTAAGATCTGTGGACCCCGATAAGCAATTGAGTGGTCATCTGTACAGCCCAGCCCCTAGCATTTGGGGGAGAGGTGAGGTCCCCTTAATTCTTCAGATGTCTCGCAGTACTGTCACCTGCCAAGCTCTTGCCAGGTCACAGAAATAAAGGACAGTATCACATCTACATCACCTATCTGAATGTTGAGTGTGGACTGCACATGAGTTATTATCACCTGCTTATGGTAACTGATAGCAGCCTTTGTCCTGTTACCCACAGAAGTGGCCTGTGAGACCACGCAGGGATCATATGAAGGCCCCACAGATGTGTCCTTGGAGTTAACAGGAACCTCACGCTCCCAGCACCCAACACTGCAGCTTGAACCTAAGCCTGCGTTGGAATTGCTCACGTGCTGGCCATTTCAGAGAGCTTGTTTTCCAGTTGCAGCCCATGAGCTCAGAGTTAGGCATGAACTCCCTCTCCATCTAACAAACTAGTTTCAGGAATCAAAGATCCCCAAGACGGAAGTGTCATTTGTGTCTTGTAAGCAAGTATCTACTTAGTCACCCAGTGCCTGAGGGGAGAGGCATAACCTATGCATGGATTCCAGAAGAATTGGTTTCCCAGTGGGTGATAAATATCATAAGTTTCCAAACTGGGCATGTCAGGGCATTTGACTCACCCTCTGCTTAAGAACAAGACAAAAGATAGTGTTGTGCCGGAGAAGAGTGGTGGGGAACCTGAGAACATCCGAGGTGCTGTCCTCTAAGATATCTTTCACCCCTCCACCCCCATCTTCTACCATCATCACCGGGGACACCAGCTGCCGTTCAGAGCCCAGAGCTTTCCCAAGGTGCACGTGCCCACAGTGTGTTCCTGGCAGAGGCTCACAGGAGCCGGCACGGAGGGAAGGGGTTAACACATTCCGGCCAACTGGGACCCCTGGTGGTATCTGCATGGTTGTCCCATCAGTGACTTGTACCATGGGTGGTAGAAGCGTACAGTCATGCACGGGACAGTAGTGCCCTGGGGGTTCAGGCTGCCTGGCACTGAGAATATGAATTGTGGCCCTATTGTGAACATGGTAAACAGAGGCTGGGACAGGTAAGGAAAAGCAAAAAGTGAATCAGAGGAGCTGATGAAGAGAAGCACCTTCAGTGTTGCTCATGCCAATCCTCCTACAGAAGGTTCTATAACACCATCCCCCTCCACTGCCCTTTTACCATTCTTGAAGTTAGCAGGGGATCTCAAGTGGGCTTAAGAACACATCCTCCATACTCTCACTTGTGCTACATCCTTACTTGATGCCCCTAAAGCCACCCGTAGATCCCTGTCCCCATCACAACAGCTGTGATCTCCTACCAGTATCAGAAACAACTCCTTCCTCTTTATCCTCAGCACTTATTTCCAGAGGACCCGAGAACACCTGACACCTACATGCTAGACACTGTCTACCCTCTTACCACCATCCCATGCCCTGAATAAACCCCTGTGCCTCTACGCTAAGTGAATCCTAACCCAGAAGTTTCTGTGGTTTCCCTTATAACCCACCCCTCAGTCCTCCCATATTCATCGGCATAGTGTTTCTATTATTTCCTCCGATCACCATAGCAACCGCACACAATAGATTGTGTAAGCCTCCCCTCCCATTCTTGGGCCCAGATCAAGAGGACTCAACTGCAACCCTCCAATTCCAGCACCTCCCCTCTCATAAGATCTCAAGCCTTCCTGAGAGTTCTGCCTCCCCAAAGGACCACCTCTCCTGGGCTCAGAATTTCACCCTCCTCCAATTCCTAGGCTTCTACCACTCTTGAGCCCAACTCAGAGAACCAACTTACCGAGTAGAGGAGTGACAGCAAGGACACTTGCTTATCACTTTCATCTCCAGAGTTATCTTTATTCCTGATCCCCTGCCACATGCTGTTAGTGTCCACCATGGCCATCAAAGTCACTCCCGTGCCACAGAGTTGGCCTTCAAGAAATCATGAGCAAAGTGGCCAGGATTCTTAGAGTTCTAGGGACAGAGGCTCAAGTCAAGGTGAAAAAGCACAGAGAGTGTTTGGTCACATAACTGAAGAAATTCAAAGTAGCACAGATTCAGGACTCTCAGTATCTCTCTCCCTCTCTTGCTGTTCGGCTCACCTTTACACTACCTGCATTCCCAGAATCCTTCCTAAAGTAGGCAGATTGGCCATGGGACCCTCAGCTCCAAATTGATAGCTGCATGTAACAAGAAGAGGGAGACTACAGACACTTGGTATCCTTGGGGACTCGTTCCAAGACCCTGCATGGATACTAAAATCTGTAGATACTGGAGCCCTTCATATAAAATGCTACAGTATTTGTATATGCTTATGCTTATCCTCCTGTGCACTTTAAATCATTTCTGTAACTATAATACCTAATACAATGCAAATGCTATGCGAATCATTGCTAGACTGTATTGTTTACAGAACAATGACAAGGAGAGTCTCTACATGTTCTATACGACGGAATTTTTTCCAAATGCTTTTTATCTGTGCTTGTTGACTTCACAGGTGTGCAGGGCCAACTGTAGGAGCTTTTCCACTCACTAGCCAAGGAGCAAAACTCCTGGCAAGGTCTCTGGTTGGTTCCATGGGTGCAGCATGCTCTTCCTCCAACCCATCACTGTCATCAGAAGAACACTAACTTTAGGTCCACGCGTGAGGACAGGAGAATGTTGGTTTTGAGGAAACTAAATGGGTAATTTCCACAAAGGGAAAAAAAGATTGTTTCACAAAAATGAAAGGAAGAACTGTTTGAAATAAAAAGTAATATATTCCTAAAGAGACTTTATGCTAGGATCTTACATTTCTCTTAGCTCCTTTAGATTTGCTCCAAAACTGCACTAAAGGAGATCTGCAAGATCATCAGTGGACCTTGGTATTAAGGGCCAGACCTGGAAGGTTGTGCTAGCACAAAAGGTGCAGCTGTACATTCCAAGTCAAATTGGCCTTGGGCCAGTCCCCCTCTCTACCTGGGCATCTGGCCTTCAGTCAGGAACAGGTTGGCCTAGAACA